CCCCAAAACCCCAAAACCCCAAAACCCCAAAACCCCAAAACCCCTCAGAGATACCTCTCTCTTGAAACATTAACTTTTAATTCTCCCTTCACTACTTCGCCTTGTCTTTACATATCTTCTTCTTGATCTGGAACAACCTCTGTTATAACTCCTGATGCTACAGTTCTTCCTCCTTCTCTGAGGGCAAACCTGTTTCCTTTCTCAATTGCAAGGGGCCTATCTAACTTGAGGGCTACAGACAAGTTATCTCCTGGCATAGCCATGGCAGCCGACTCTGGAAGAGTGACTGCACAAGCCATGTCTGCGGTTCTGATGAAGCATTGAGGTCTGTATCCGCTGAAGAATGGCTTGTTCCTACCTCCCTCATCTGTGTTCAATACGTAGATTTCAGCATTGAAGTTCCTGTTGACTGTGAATTTACCTGGCTTAACAAGAGCAGCTCCTCTCAGAACATCTTCTCTGTTGAGTCCTCTAAGCAACACTCCTACGTTATCACCAGCTTCTCCTCTATCAAGAGTCTTTTTGAAAGACTCAACTCCAACAATAGTTGTGGCAACTGGCTTTCTATCAATTCCAATCAAGTGGACATCATCTCCAATCTTGCAAATTCCCTGATCAATGGTTCCTGTGGCAACAGTTCCTCTTCCTGGAATGTTGAAGGAAGACTCTACAGACATGAAGAAGTCTTTGTCGATTGGTCTAGTTGGAGCTTCAAAGTAAGAGTCCATAGTACTAATGAGTTCTTGAATTGCAGAAGTGCCAAGACCGTTGTCATCTTTGCCTTCAAGAGCAAGCAAAGCTGATCCCTTAATTAATGGAACATCGTCAGAGTATTCGTAATCCTCAAGAAGCTCTCTCACCTCCATTTCTACCAATTCGTGCATTTCTTCGTCATCCATCTGGTCGCATTTGTTCAGGAAAATAATGATGTTCTTGACTCCGACCTGCCTGCACAAGAGAATGTGCTCTCTGGTTTGTGGCATTGCTCCGTCAGTGGCGGATACAACAAGAATACCTCCGTCCATTCTGGCTGCTCCAGTAATCATGTTTTTAACGTAATCAGCATGTCCTGGACAATCAACGTGGCCGTAATGTCTGCTCTCCGAGCTGTACTCGATGGTCGTAGAGTTGATCGTGATACCTCTGGACCTCTCTTCTGGAGCCTTGTCAATTTCACTGTAGTCATGGAAGGATGTGCCTCCTGTTGAGCTCAAATACTTAGTAATGGCTGCTGTCAGGGTTGTTTTACCGTGATCGATGTGGCCGATGGTTCCTACATTCAAATGCTCTAAGGTTCTATCGAATTTAGCAAATGATCTTGCAAATCCTCCGACCTGAGTGGCTAATTGTTTTCTATAAAATGTTCTGAACATCTTTATATATAAATAAATTATTTATGCCACAAATTATTTCCAATCATTTGGTAATTTTCAGGGGTTTTGGGGTTTTGGGGTTTTGGGGTTTTGGGGTTTTGGGGTTTTGGGG